GCTTTGTACTACACAGTCCTCCGGTGCCTAAAATGAGAAGCGGAAGGACGCTGTGCTTCTGCAGTATGTGTGGAATTCCATGAGCAAGAGTAAGTATGTCCCCTGCCAGAGGAACATGGGGTTTGCAGGAGAGCACCCAACTCCTGGAAATGTGTCCCCAGGGAGATATCTGTCAGGTGGGACCAAACATTGTTGTGCTTGGTTGTTAGAAAAGATATTATGCATAATGATTTTTTTTACCCATGTGTCATTGATGAGGGTAAGCAAGGCAAAGGCAATAATAATTCAACGATCACCAAGAGACAATCATCCTTGTTGTCCAAGAGTCATAATGCTCATATAATGACATCGGTATGCTGATGTGAGAGGAAGGAAGGTGCTGTGAAATTACATTCCTGGGTCTGAGTCTAGGGAATGGAATATTATACACAGACTGCTATTCTCTTGGACCTTTGGTTGCTGTATTGAGCGTATTTAAAACAATACATTTGATTTATGTAGTTGTGTGAGCCGAGAATGTCCAAATAATGTCTGTCTGTCTAGTGTATGGATACATCTCATTTCGAAGACTGCAATGACTGGTATTTTACTACCTCCAGTGTTAAATGTTACGTCATGTGTGGTGTTACGTGAAGCGGAAGGTGAGAACGGTTTTTGACTGGTATGACACCCGACTCCACCAAATGCCCGGAGTCTTCACCATCTGGTATGCAGCCTGTCTCTGTGTTTGCACACACTGACACTAGCCAGAGAGTGTGCACATTTCTATGGAGAGGCAGAAGGAATTTGCCCAGTGTGGGTGTGGCATTGTTTTAATGAGGGTTATTTTCCTCGCCAGCACAGATGTGCAGGGAGACCGGAATGATGCCACCCAGCACCGAGCTTATGGTGGTTGACCATTTGATTTTGTGGGGTGTGATGGGCTTGGAACGCAGCATTGCTGCTGTGGGGAGAAGTGTTGATTACTGGTCATGGAAGGTATGCAACCACTGGAGCCAATGGCAGACCTTCGGATAATCATAGACTTCCTCTCAGGGAGGTGTGGTTTACAAAACAGTTTGCGAGGGAGGTTTTCAGCTGTTTCATAACAATGTTGGCAGGTTCAGGTAATTTTCATGGATTGGATCATCACGCAGGGATGTCCCTAGGACTCGGTGCCCCTGACCCAGCCAATAGGAATTTTTTTTTTCCTTAACCTCATGAAACCTTTTCTTGCCCGAGCGGACCACAGTAGGTTATAACCCGCTACCCATGTGGTTTGATAGCCTACTGGGGTTATAATATGTATGTTACATGTGAATTGGTGCAGAAGTCTAGGTAAACGAGGAGCCACAAGCAGTTACCTGCAGTGGAATTTCTGCTCCTTTGTCTGTGGCTGTATATGACGTGTTATTTTTTGATGTATCAGGGAATGTCGTAAGCCAATTGAGATAACCAAGTTGTGGCAAGAAAACAGGATATGCATTCCTCTGTACAACAGTAAATCAAGTTTAGTTTAATGGAAGAGTGAGAGCATTTAGAGTGTTTCCCACTGTAGTTGGCAACTTTGTTTAAACCGCCAAGTCCCTGCTACATGTGGATAGTGTATCGCATGTGTGAGAATTGCTTTTTAGCCAGAAAGCCCTTTGCAGAAGAATTCTACCATTTATGACTGTCTGGAAGGTATATACACAGAACGGGGGAAATGTCATCGAGGTCAGAGTGTAGCAAGAAGAACCCTTGCTACGTTTCTGAGGCAGAGGCATGGATACCACCCAGTAGTGGTAAAACATAAAAACACAAAAAACTCTCTAAAGGAAGGGATTTTCCTATTCCCATTGAATGTACTTACTATAAAGAACACCGGTGCATATGTATAATACACTTTGGGGTGACGCACCTAAAAGGTATACAAACCCTCGAATTAGCTTATCCTAATCTGGCTCACTAGGACATTGCATTGAACCATTAAAAAAAACACACATTAGTGGTATGCGCAATGTTATGGTATTTTATTCTAAAGGTGTTTGGGTGTGGGTGTTAGGTGGGTGGGTTTATTTAACTGCTGAGGGCCAAAATGCGGTGCATGTAAAATGATTTAAAATTCAAAAAATGGCTGTTCTGATAGCACTATCGTCATCTCATTTGTGATGGCAACCGCACAGTAGCTATGTGTGCATGTCGTAATGATCTCATTGAGTTTCATTATACATAAGCGTCATGAAAACCAATAGCCACCTGGTTTCCTCCACCAATTCAATGGTCAGCTAGACAAGTCATAGATCATGGAGTTTGCGGTCATAATCCCTCTCAGCATCTATTTACCCCACCTGTGGCTAGTCCGAGGTGCAAAGCATTATCTAAACAGACACAGGAAATTTGTCACTTTTCATTACAATTGGATTTCGGTAGGCCAAACTTTACTGGTTGGTCGCCAATCTTTGAAATAGTCTATAACGCCTTTTTTGACTAGTCTCTATGACCCATTGGGTGTACTTTACTTTCCGGATCAGTCTCTTGGAGGACTCAAAGAAACACATAACACTTAGGCCAAGTGTCCTTCACACAAAATCATGAACACTGAAACAGGTGGTTTTTCTGGTGCATTGGTACTCTAAACTCCAAACGGACTTACTAGGTGCATTTTTGTCGAGAGCGTGTGCCCATTGCTTTGGATGGCTGCTTTAGCAACTCTGGTAACGGGGAGAAGAGAGGGAAAAACCAAAGAATTTTGTTTTTTCCCCCCCCAAACGTTGCTTAGCAAACTTCACACCAGTGCACATGGCATCACCATGGATGAGCGGCAGGCATAAAGTGCAATGACATTGTGACTCCCTAGATACAATACGCAGAAGATTCCAAACATGATATAGGTGGGCAAACAGTGTGTAGGTAAGTTCATAGGGCGACCACTAGTGGAGTTGTGAGCTAGTCCAGTGCAGGCCTATAGGTCCCCAGTCTCCCCAGTGTGAATTGTCCAAGCTCTCATCATGATGTGCAAGACAACAACTTTAAAGGGAAAGTTTGGTGGTTACCACTGTTAAAAGCTGAAAGAGTTATGTTCCTGCAGGTCTCTTGCAGGGCCAAATACGATTGCTAAAGTTAATGGAGTGTACAAAAGCTGAATGCTTAAGTTACCTTGTAACAACCAGGCTAATCCTTTGATACTGCTATGAAACCTCCCCATATTTATTGGGCCTATTATATAGAAGTTGTGATGAAAAGTTGTGAAATACCTAGGGTTACCAATGCCAGTATTAATATATGGTCCCTAGTGCAGGAGACATCAACTTTGGTTCAGTATGTGTAGCAAACAAAAATTAACAACAGCAAGATGTGATAGGGTAGGGTTGTGAACGACAGAATTGCGAGATAGACTCCTAAATAATATATAGACAAGAGTGCATGTCATGCTCTGCTGATGAGTATCATGGCTTCACTAGGAGTAGGTTTAAAGCAGTTAACCTACATTAAACAGGTCTCTGCTAACAGAACTAAAAAATTCACTGCGAACCTTTGCTTGCAACTTCCACCTGCTTTAAAGTAGTAGTATGGGGACCGCAGGACATATGCCTGAGGACAAGGGGGTGGGAGTTGTGAAAGCAGGGGTCGGGTGGTGCATCTTATGGAATTGCAAGTATTTACTAAATGTGAGACAAGCAATTGCCGAGTCAAACTTGGTCAGAGTTGTTATGGACTCATGAGATTCCAGGAAAAACATTCCTCTGCTCCTTAGGTTATTGTTTTCATTGCTGGCAAAAAATAAGAATTTTAACAGAGCCTTGGCAACCAAACGGTGAAGTTAGAAGATCCCTAATGAGGAGAGTAAAAAAGAAGATGTTGAATCGGTTGTTGAGGTTAGGGAGAAGTAATAATGACTGAGTTGCCCAAGGTTTCTATTGTCCACGCGACAGCTGTGAACATAGATGTTGTATAAGTAATTGGTTGGGCAGTCTAAGCTGCATCGTCGTACTGAAGAGTTCAGAGTTTTTATATTTTTCTTATGCAGTTCTATTAGATTTGGATTTGGGTTCTTTCTTTTCCTCTCTATATTTTCTTTGCTAGTATGACTACTATAACATTGTTTGTTTTCATGCCTAAGCTTCCGAATACATCAGTTAGTCTGCGCTTAATAGTTCTAATACTTATATTGATATGTGAAAGACGACTCATTCAGGTAATATAGTACACGGTACACTAGGCAACACAATCACAACACATCACACACAAGATTATTGGTGATAAGTTGACCATATGCACTATAGGGTGAAACAGATATAAGGAGATTGAGGCGGATGAGGAAAATCAGAGAAGACGCAGGGAGAGTCCTTGCTTGAGAAGATATCATATACGGTATGAGGAGTGTGGTAATAATTTGGCTAGGGGTTGTTGAGATGGTTAAACTGGGGTAAGGTAGTCTGTGGATGGGTGTCATCCGGCGTGCATCTGGTGCGTGGTCCATGGGATAGGACATAGATGCCACCGTACCAGTGCAACAATACGTTGTGGATGAGTCAATGGCTACAATGATTGCTTGTCGTGGTCGTGGCACCCCTGAGTGCCTACTGCTTGAAAGATGACTGGCGGGACTAGACGCTCGATTACACCATTTACTGTGAGGAAGAGAGAGGAGAAGATGAATGATGAAAATCAACAGACATGATGCGTATGGTTACTCGTGCAGCAGAGGGATGACTAGAGATGTATGGGTGGGATTCACTAGTGTGGAAACGTTATTGACTTTGGCTCTGTGGAGGGGTGGCCCCACTGATGAGACAGGACTTGATGAAATATACGTAAACGTGCAAAAATATGTTGACGGAGACTTGAGCTGTTCTAGCAGCAATGCTCAAGATCTTCAAGTAGAATCTTATCGCCACTCATTGAGGAGAGCGAAATGATAATCGTGAGTCTGGAGATGAATTGGAATAGAAAGCTGAATATCAACTAAATGCAGTAGAGTCAATTGGTAAAGACTCGGATTCTTACTGTTTGAGGCCATAGCTTTCAGCTCGGATGTCAACCACTTCCAGACCGAGGCCAGCGAGAGCTTCTCTGAGCTGTTTCTGGACAGAATCTCCATCTGTGAGATAGTGACTGTACTCCATGTCCAGGACTGCCGATACCACAACCGTCTCAAGTTCACCATCTAGTGGCGTGGGAAAAGTGATCAATATAATGTATAGTATGCTTCTGCAAAAGGTGCAAGAGGGAGGAATAAAGAGAAACGTAAGCTCACCAGGACACACAGGGCAGTCACATGATCCTGGAGTCCACCTTTGTGCCTGGCAGTTCAACTCCGGGCAGTGGTGCTCAGTGAGGGAGATGATTCCCGAAACACAGGTTGCCTTCTCGTGTGGCAATGGACACCAAGACGCTCCATCAGGTTGCTCTGCTCCGTTGTCGTCCTTACAGGTGGCAGCAGTTGTGGTGGTGGTGGCCGCAGAAGGCAGCTCTGAGGTGGGTGTAGTGATTGTAGGGGCACTAGTGGTGGTAGTTTCAGCACTGGGTGGCAGTGGAGTGGGGGTTGGTGCGATGTCGGACGTTGCAGTCGAGGGTACGCTGATAGACTCTGTAACTGCTGGTGTTGGGCGAGATGTAGGAGCAGGTCCACTGGTTGGATAACCTTCATCTCCTATTGGGAAAAACGAGTCACAATCATTATTTTGCTGAATGTAAGGTCCAGGTGCATAATAGTCACGTCTGGTGGTATTTGTTACCTGGACAGAGAGGGCAGCAGACACCGGGGAGAAAAACTTGGTCTGCGGACTCGCACTCGGCAAAGCATGCTCGGGCGAGGCACAGTGTGAGCCCCTCCTCGCACTGACAGGAGATGCACGGGTCTCCGTTGGGATTCCAGGTCGCTCCGTTCTCATAGATCTGACCACTGTCCTCACAGTAGGTGGGGGGAGACACCAGGACAATCGAGAGAGGGGGAGGTGGAGGGAGAGACGTGGCCACTGGAACCTGCAGGTCAGCTGGAAATACAAAAAGCAGACATATAAATTTCTTGTTTGCAGTGGAAACTCCTTTGGATTGTTACGAAAAGAGGAGGGGATCCGTACCTGGACAGATGGGGCAGCAAGTGTCGGGAAGATATTGAGGGTTTTCACACTCCACGTAGCAGCTTCGGGACACACAGAGAACCTCTCCGTCGGCGCAGAAGCAGGTGGTGCAGGGGTCACCGTTGCGACTCCAGCTCTCTCCTTCTTCGTGTGTCTGTCCGTCCTCCACGCACTGGGGAGCGGCCGGCTGGGGAGCAGCAATAGAGACGCAAGTGGGGCAGCACTGGCCGAGATTGAGGACTAGTTCCTCGCAGTTGTCCGGTACGTAACACTGGATGGAGGTACAGAGTGGAACTCCGGCCTCGCAGGTGCAAGATGTGCAACTGTCTCTCTCCCAGGTCTCTCCCTCCTGGTGGTGGATTCCGTTCTCTGAGCATCCGGTGGGGCTGGTAGTGGTGGTTGGAGTGTGGATGGTGGGGAGGGGAGGGCACACCGGGCAGCATTCACTCTCGGGCACGTACTGCAGGTTGGGACCACACCATACTCGAGGACATTGCTCTGTATCGCAGGGAGTACGGTTCGAATCTGCAAGGGAATAGATCAGTTAGAGCGGTAGGTTACTAAAATGCAGCATCCAACGTGCAACGTGAGTTTGCTGCACCAAGTGCTATATACGATTTTTTACCTCTGCAAATTTTTACGGTCGAGCCGGGAGTCTCGGAAACACAGACTAGTCCTTCTCTGCAGGTGGCGTCAGGAACTCCGCATCTGCTGCCGGCCTCTAGCAGGGTTTCCGCAATAGCGCTGTGCAGCGCCAGTAGGCTGCAGAAAACGCTACAAAGAAGGTGGCGAAGTAGGACGGGCGAGGAACGTTGATGAATCATTCTCTACGTTGCGCAGTTGGCTGCAAAGGTTGCTTTTAGTTGCTACTGCTGCTGCTGCTAGTAATGGTTCAGGTGTGTTTCGCTCGCTCTTCGCTCCCCTTTTGTAGCCGCACGCGGCGTGTTTGGCGCATTCCATCGAGCCCGCGCGCCGTAAAACAAGCACCCCGTTGTGTACGCAGCGCAGTAATCATAACTACGGAAGCTCAGCAATGCTGATTCTTGTGACGTAGTACAGGCACTGTTATACATACTCCTTCAGTGGTATATCAGTAATAACCAGCTGGATGAGCGATCCATGACTCATATCCGGCTGCCGATCTCGGGTGCTAATTCACTTTAGACCATTTTCAATTCCAAAAATGGACACCCGCAGCAACCAATTTGCCATTTCCTTGCACGCTAAACAATAAAAGACACGCGATTGGCACGCCGGGTATGTTTGTAGTTTCGTTAAGAGTGCCACCACTAACACGGGAACGATACCCCTTTTGGCCATGTCTGTCAGCACACACCCCAGCGGTAGAGGAGAGGGCATTCCAGTACTTGGCACCATGACAACATTCCAAACACTTGTACGTATATACCCTGCGTGCATGTTTGACGGGAGTTGGTATGTTCTTACATAATGTCCAACACTAGGGTCGGGTCGGGACTTATTGCGCAACGGAATCGGAACGCACTCTCCGTTATGCATTCTTGAGGTTGTGATGACCAGATAGTTGGATTAGAAATGCCCCTGGCCCTTGTGGCCCTGCCAAGGACACCTCACACAACAGGCATCCCCAAATAGCTCATCAAATGGGAAGTGATTTCACTGCAGCCTACGCAAGGTGGGGGTACGGTAACAAAGTCCTGTTAGTGTATCCCAGACCATTAATTGCCATGCCTCAAGGCCAATTTTCTTCGTAATCGTCCTGTTTTAGCTAGTACGCAGTGATCTCAAACTCGACGTTCCAATGCCTTTGTGCTTCACTGGGGAAAGAGGATGTTGCTTTTTTCGTCATTCAATTTAACTTTTCTGTCACACCCGCAATGTGGTTCTCTGGAGGAGGTATATATACATGCCACATGTCATCAACTGACCCAGTGCTTTGAAGTGCGTGCCCTGATTCAATTTGAAGCCATGAGATGTCACAATTGACCGACACATGCCAACTGAACTCTGTCAACAATTGCTCTCAGCCAGCTTACTGTACTGTCGATCAGATCTTATTGCACTGCTCCATACTGAGGTGAGCAATTTGAAATGAAAACATCACAGCCAATAATAATTATAATGTGTAGCCTACCCAATGATAAAATCAATGTTGTGCCCACACAATATCCATGGTAAGATGAACCTACAATAATTATGTGCATAAGCCTTGTATTTGTACACAACAACTGGAGTAGGGATACAAACCCACCTCCAGGAGCCAAAATAACACACGGGAGAGATTCCAATGCCGCTTGCTACCACACTTCTTCTTCCAGAGGCACACAAACGCCAGACAAGAATGAATGATGATTGAGGTATCCATTAGCCAGAAAGAATGCCATTGATCGAGCAGTGAGGACCGTTTCCACTCGGCAAGTTGAGCCACGTGCTTGTCTCGGCATCAATCTCCAGCACTGAAAATGTTTTCATAACCGTGACTCACTACCCTGACTGCTGCATGTCTGAAACAATCACCAGTCGGAGACCGAATGACTAGAATTACACACTGGGCAATGTTTTGCCTCCGAATTCCTTTGTCACTGTCCCTGCCAAACAGAGCGAGATGTTCACCTAAAGATCCCATGTCCAATGTGCATGCATACTGTCTCGGCCCCGTGATGTTTTTACGCACGCAGAATGAATGCAAATATTTTTATTTCCCTCCATCAATTATTTTTATAACCCCCTCCAGATGCGGCAATGTCCATGAGCTGGGACGTGTTGGAACCAAACATTGGAATGATAATTGGCCTATGACTCAAATCTCTGGATCCGTAGCTATTCAAGATCCCCATAAGGTAAAGTGCAATATGTATTATATTAGTGCATGCACTTGCCTATACTCTTCACATTGAGCACACGTTCAATGCTACATGTGGTGCAGTTGCGGGGTTTTCGAGGCGCTCAAGAGCACAATCACATTGTTAACATTCATAAACAAAATGAACAACAACAACAACAACAACGACAACATGACAAGTAAGAACCGGAGAGGAACGGCGGGCGAAGTTACACATACAGTACAAACAACTGGAGTGTTATTGAAGCTACCACTAAGAGCCGCGAGGAGAAAGTGTCCAGAAGAAGAAGCACACGGGGACACAAGTCGTTATTCCTGCATCTCGTCAGGACGGTCGTGGGGGTTGATGATCCCAGGAACCGCCAACTGCTGCTGCCGTTTATCCTTTGCCGCTTGCTTCAGTTGAGCTTCTCTCTCTTCAAGGAAAAGGTCCTCTGAATTTCCTCCACTGTATTCCTATAAGGTAAGGTGCACAATTATCCACTCATGATGCCTCTGTATGGTCTGTGTATGGTCTGTGTATGGTCTGTGTATGTATGTGAAGGAAAGGATTGGACTGTGTTGGGACTGTTATGAAGCCGTGAAGTGGTGTTCATATCCTCTTCATTAGTAGGCGGAATTTGCCAATTTTGGTGCGACAACAAGGAACAAACAACCCAACAGATTTTGAACACTCACACAATATGCGTATGCATACAGATGGTGATGTGTGCTAATGCCTACCTTTATCTGCACGAGAAAGTCCCTGAGGTGCTCCTTGAAGGCAGGGATATTGTTGTTGAGATGAAACAGTCCCCCCACAAACATCTTTACCTGAGCACTGATATATATATGTACCACACATGATACTTTACTCCACTCTCATAATGGAATATCCCTGGGAGCAAAGCAAGTCTATACCTAGTTGTCTCAATTCCACATGCTGCAGTACTAGATACTCACAAACTTGCCGAAATTTTGCACTACATTGTAACTGAGCGCTGATTCTTGTAAGATCAAAGGCAGGAAAGAAGGAAGAATAGAACAAACCACGGGGAGCACAGCCAAAACATTAGCTCTGATTCACAACGCTAATGATCTCTAATGCTCGGCCTCAAAGAACACTAGTGTTTTGGCGGGGCGGGGCGGGGCTAGGGAGAATGGTGAGAGGATCACTAGGCGGGGAAAGAAGGGCCCAGGATAAATCAACCAGTGCCCAGATAGATAGTGTGTTGTCTTTTCCTGATACTGTTCCTGGCAACATGTACACACACGGGGGCAGCAAACAGCCAAACAGTAGCATGCAAGGAGCAAACAGCCAAACAGTGGCGTACACTCACGAAACTTGGCCCTCTGAATAGAGTGTACGTTTACTAGCTCACTTTGAAACAGGTGTAGAGATGCATAGGCACACGATGACCAGCACGTAAAACAATGCTGGAAATGTTGGGGTACACGCGCCCTATGAAACAACAGCTCACAGCTGCAGCACCCAGCCAGAAGACCACACACAAACCATGCCCTGCTCTTTAAAAAGGAACTACAGACATGCCTTTTCCTACACACCAAGCTGATCTAACCCTACAACGATTAACAGTATCTCATCCATCACAGACCATTTTTACAACAGCACGCTAACTTTTTCCCCCACGTTGCCAGTTAACTCTGCGTGACTTACTCTTGCAGGTGTGGATAAGCAGTATTGATGAGCTCAGCCACGTACTGCTGGATGTACACGGCGTTGGAGGAGGCCTGGGCAGTGGTAGAGAGCGGAGCAGTTATCTTGTCTTCCTCCACAAGACTGAACATGAAGGCCAGGATCGTCGCATGCATCGTCAGACCTGCAATGTGACACACAGATACACACTCTGATTTTGTAACTTTTTACTTGCACGGACAGTTATTTACAGCATTTTGAAAGCCACTTTTTGAAATTGAAAGCAATATTTTTATGCCGCATTCGGCAGACGTGAGCAAACTTGTACCTGGGCAGTTTTTTGGGGACCTAGTAAACAGATGCAGTCTGTGGAAGCAGAGGGAAAGTAAGAACGGTTGGATGGGAGTAAAAACGCTACGTGGAGCAAATGTGCTTCGAAATCGGCCATCGAACAGCGAGAGGTACATTCCTCCGTGGTGTTTGCAAACTCCAATAACTGTGTGGTTAGCACTCTATATAGGCAGTGTCCATTCCTGATCATCTCTGACCATGCACAACACTCACAGCTCATTTGTAGATGTAGGGTACAGACAGAGCATATATACACACATGACAGGGTGGGGAGTGAGGCGGGCAATGACACATGCAACTTCAAGTACAACATGTTGGCATTGGTTGATGGACAAAGAGCCAGAGAAACAGAGCAGGAAATAGTCAAGCCCTACCCAACATTAGCTGAGGGTGGACGAACACACACACACACATGCCGCACCCATGATACCACACTAATACTGATGATAACAGGGTTATTAGCTCAGGTAATGTCCCAACTGGCATAAAGTTGCAGAATTTTATATCAGAATTCTTAGCACTTTTCCCAAAAATGGGGCCGGTGCTACCCTTTAAACTTCTTGTACAAGGCACTTGTGCCAACGGCCATGCACATTAAGTGGATATGAGGGCAGTAAATCAGGTAGAAGCACAAGGTAATAGGTGCATGTGCTCAAGGACTGATGCATGAGACACTTCCCCCATCACGTGTACCTATCAATTGGCTAATGAAGAAAGTACGTAGAATTCGCGACTACGTATGTTGTGTATGTGTACAAAGGTTAACAAGTGCATTAGCCTCCTATAGTCTCTCACAGTCCAATGAGGGAAGGAAGGTCGTACACAATACAACAATGTTAAGCACATACACCACACACTACTGTATGTACCCACATTGAATTTATATGGACATTGTAGGCGCCTTGCTGGCAGTAATATTCCTGTGACACGTGAACGAAATCCCTATGGCAACGCACTACACTACAAACAAGACGTGGTGCTGTCTTCACATACCAATCAAAAATTTCAATTTGGCTGGAGTGCGAAGCAGACAATGTGTGTGTTTATTGGCCATTGATTTACCAGTAAATCTATCGTCCAGAGACCAAAGGGAAATCATCACGACTTGGAGCAGGTCTTGCCTAGCACTATGCAAAAAATGCTGCAGCAAAGCTTAGCACTGTGCATGCAGTACAAACAACAGACAGCTTGGACACGTGCAGGCTACCTAGCTGGAATGCTGCAGTTACTTAGCCTTGTTTACACAGACACTTTAAAAACCAGTTTTTAAACCGGTTCTACTTCCAACCGCACATGCAGCCTACTTTTTATCAAGATACTGGTTTTGAAACTTGGCCTAAACATACCGAGTGCCTATAGACGTAACTGACACCGTACACAGCACCAACATTTCACAACTGGAATATCTGTGGGCAATCCAGCAAAGCTACCCAGAGGTCTAAATACCCAGCAAACATATCACATCAAAAGGGTAGCTTTAACACAACACACGCACACGGCGGGCATTTCTTTTCCACAGCTCACCGTCTGCGAATGCATACACACACGTGTCTAGTGGCTTCCCTACAAGGTCACGATAATATTATGGCCCAACACTCTGTCAACTGGACATACGTAGTACGTTACCAGTTGCCTCAGTCAGTGGGGAATTTTTAACACTTTAGGATTAGACGTGTAGGACACCACACACGACTGGTCTCTGCAGTGTCTTTTGATGTACGTAAGTGTTGTATGCAGTCGCTACACTGCTCTACCAGGCAACACAAAATCTTTCTCACACCTACAACGTATATGTGCAAGCCACAGCTGGCCTAGACTCAAGTTTATGGCTTCCTACACTTCTTACTCAATATTACTCAGATGTGCTTGCACATGGTCAATCTGTGGAAATTTGCTCTGCTTTTAGCTGCAAAAACGGTTTCCATGACCCATATCAAACTGCTGATCCATTTAGCACCTAAACTTGTGGCTTACCAACCAGGGACACATATACATAACTAGCCCCGTATGCGTTTGGTCACAGAGAGCTACGAGGTAGAGATAGTAAGCATGCGGTACATACTGGCAGTGTGTGATGAGTCGGTGACGACTGAGAACATGTGCTGCATGAGGTCGATGAAGTAGGTCTGGAAGAACTGGGTCCCGACCTGGTCCACCGAGAACTTCTGGAGGAGGAGGAGGAGAACGTTGAGTCCGATCTCCGCCACGTTCCGCATGGTGTGCTTGAACGCCCACACGATGGAGTCCATCAGCAACTTGAACTGCGCCGGAGGGATCTTCATCAGCGCTACAACACACACACCAGAAGGGAGAAAAGAAGACACAACTCAAGATGATAAATTCTGTTTCCTCCTTTTAACCCTCCCAGTTATTGGAATATTCATAAAGAGTGAACTCCCTTCTTTTCATATACACTTGAAAGTCCAGATTTGGTCCCAATTTGTATTACTCTAGGAAAGTGTTCACAAGAACACACTACCACAGTAGACTAAATGAGTGCTTACTTCAATTTCAACCACAGACAGAATTCTGGGAGCAAATTTTGGTACATCATTCAGTGTATGCAAGGTAAAATGACAGCAACTGACAGATGTTGAATACTTCTCTTTGTACAGAGGCCAGAGGCCAGTGTGAGAAGTCTCATGTGGTCTGAGCTACCCAGGGCACCACTACACAGCAATCTGCCATGTGTGTGCAGATGGTCGTCCAAATAACTTCACCCTCGATACAAATTGCTTCTCCGACCGTTATAATTGTTTCCCCCGCGTGTGCACGCAATTGCAGCTGCAGTTGGTCATTCTGTTGCCATTGTTGGGCATCTTTGATGGGCGAGTGTCTTTCAAGAGGCACTAGCTCGCAACCAGGGGTCTAGCTGCATTCCCGGCTGGCTCGCGTTCATTCTAGTTTGAGCCACATCAGAAGAACCACAGATTAGCCGCCGAGAGTGAGAACGACTCATTACGCAACTTGAAACTACCCCCCCTGCCAAAAAACCAACACTCGCACAAATACCCGACCTCGTTAGGCGCACGGCGACATTGTGCATTAATCAGCAAAGTCTTTGTGCCATTTTCAGCACGGCCATAATCCACATTTCCCAAAAAGCCACAGGTATTGTTCACATCAGCTACTGTACCCTCTCTCTCATTCCTTCTCTTGTTCACATCAGCTACCAGCTCTCTCTCATTCCTTCTCTGGGTGTTTGCACAAACAACAGGAAATATAAAGTGGAATTTGCTTAGCAGCTGGTATGCCAGTATCACCCACCCTCATATTTTCCTTTTTTAATCTTGACCCACGTCCTCATACCTTTCTAAAGGTTTCTGTCCATCATGGTAATAAATACGTCATACTGTCATACCTTCTCTCACACACCCAGCTTTAAAATGCCCCGACCACGTGTGTGTTGTGTGTGCGTGTGGCTGGCACACACCTCATTGTTCACTCCATATCCCTCAGAGCTTCTTCTCTGCCTTAACACCCATATGTTTGCGCGTGTCTGTGTGTGTGTTTATGTGTGTGAGACTGTGAGTCATATTATGTTCACTCTGTAAATCCCTCAGAGCTTTTTGCGGCCCAAAGTGTTGTGTGTGTGTGTGTGTGAGACTGTGAGTCACATTATGTTCACTCCATGTCTTCCCTACTGCTGCTGGTTCAGTGTATAAATACGCTCACCAGGGAAGCAGTGTGCTAAGTAAGAGAGGAAGCAGTGTATAACTCGCTATGAGAGCACTCACCGGCAAAGCAGTGCTGCGTGACGGACTGGAGCATTCTGAAAAAGTTGGTCCTGTGCTCGGGAAAGTCCTCCAGGTTCTTGCTCACCATCTCCAGGGTACACTCAAACAGAGCGTCCATGATGGGAGGAATGTCGTCCACTGCCTGCGCCTGTCAGCACACGAGAAATTTGTGATCACGGTTGGAAATGCTATTTGCAGATACACAACTGGATAAATGATTGCCAGCCGTATAGTAAACCGTTGTGATGAACAGTTCCTCAGTTAGACACACTTGTCAGCCCATTGTGCCACCTTAAGTTAAAAGTTAAACACTAGTTCTGTGTTACAGCTTAAAGTTACGGACGGGGTTCTGTAAGTTCTTGACTTGAGTTGAACAATTTTTTCTCCCAAGGCTTGACAGGAGACTTTGGAGTAGAAATCGTGTGTCTATTCTTCCATCAAGCTTTGCAGTAACAACACTTGACACGCAGACACACAGGTTTGGTATCAATAATCGTGAACCCTCAAACTGCACCGCATTACAAAAACACATCGATGTAGTAGGTGTGTGTAAGGTTTTGCAAACTAGCCTAACGAAGCTCCTGCCCACCTCTAGTTTGTCGACAATGGTGGAGACAGTGCTGAGGACCTCGGGCTCCCTCGCCTCGGGCACGTTGCGACGATAGTCTCCCAGAATGGCGTCCAGGAGAGGGGGCAGGAAATGCTCTCGCACCTACACACACACACAGCATTATAGATGATACATTCATATGCAGCGTAAATGGCACACTGGGTGGTTGTGTAAAGCCAATAAGCGAAACTCAATTAGAGAACCATCCCCTAATGATCTTATAAAACAACCCATATTACATATGTGAGTGGAGTGCTCCCACATGAAGAAGCACAAGCATGAGCCTCTTGAGCACTAACCTTTGCCCACACTAACAGAGTGTATGGCAGAGTAGTGTAAGGAGAGTGTGCCCTCACCATGACAGGATCTTGTGACTTGGAGACCCAGCATGTGATGAGCTTCAGAGTTTCCTTCTTGACTGTCCTCATGCCAGCTATGAGAGGCTGCTTTGTGACCAGTTCACCTGTAACCAACACAGATCAATGATATCACCATGTTTCACGTATGTACGTTGTACTCAAAAAGTGTGTATTTGCTAACAAGTGGAGGGATGATGCTGGTGCAGATTTCTACAGCTCTATCAGCCCGGGAACTTAGTGCTTCAGTTTACATACAGGCTTACTCGTCTACGCACACTAAAGAGCAGTTCATGGACAAGTAGAACACATTTCCACTAGCAGAATGCTGCAAACTGGCCATAGGAACGTAAGAAATGTGTCCAACTGCACACGCTACTATATATATGATATCGACAGAAGAAGGCAGTAGACGAAAAGCAGGAAAGCATTACAACTAATAGAATGCCGCAACTAGCCACACAAGGAGCTGCTGCGGATGCGAGTATCATCACAGACTGTACATACGTACGTTCAACTGTACAGGAAATAAACAGACAAGGGAAAGCAGTGGACAGACAGACAGACCGGAAAGCAGTGGCTGTGAAGTCTACAGGTCAGAGACAAACAGTCACAATATGAGGCAGAGGCTGCCTATGTACATACCGTGCATACAAACACACACACCCACACAAAACAGCTTACCACTGACTGAGACTGCACTGGAGATGTTCTCACTCAAGACCTTGTAGACATTCACCATGTCCAGGTAAATCCGTCCCAACTGCAGGCAGGCAATACACATACTCACTCCATACTCAGAGCATATCCCACACAGCTAGTCAATGGGGTAAGACAGGTGTATAGAGCTCTGGCCCACATATGGAGTACACAGGATGGTCTACTGTCTAGAGAAATTACACTGGGACAGGACAGAGGCACTTGGCTGCTTTTGGGGCGCTCCAGCTTTTGGGGAAAATGACATCAATGGCTACCTAATGTCAGTGCATTGGGCACTAATTAGTGAACTAATTGAAGGGTGGAACAACAGGAGAGGTCTCTGTAACTCTGGAGGGCTAGTGGGTGTGATTAGTGAGTGAGGGCACACCTGGAGGACAAACGGATGACCCACTGCCACACAGGCCTTGACGTTGGTCTTGAGAATGTGACCCAACTGTTTTATGGTGTCCAGGTCCTGCAACACCGTGAGGTCCTACACGAACATCAATGGTATGTGTGTAAAATGTACGTATTATTATGCACGATTCACACATCAATTTTTAAGTTAACATACATACGGTCAACCTTAATTTACTGTATTGATCGACTTACACATCACATTGATTTCACATTGATGTGAGTGTGTATAATGGTCTATGAGATGTACACGTATACCAACATTTTCCAAGCTAAAATTCAATTCTCGTATTGGCCCACCCCATAATTATATGTACATCAACTTCTCTATTGGCCTGTTAGTAACTCCCATGATCAGTGGATAACGTCACCTGGAGACCTACACATACATACTCAGCTGGCTAGACTGGGAGCCAGAGAGAGGGCAGTTCTCAAGTGAGGGATAATGAGAAAGATCCGATGTTTACAGTGCCCCAAACAGAACCTCCCCAGAAGGCTCTTAGGGGGACAAGCACGTCATTGTGAAAAAAGGCTGCGTGATACAAACAAAGAATTAGGGAGCAAATTGAGGCTTAGCAGACTCGTTCCTCGGCACACAATGTGTTCATATGTACGTCAGCTATACTTCCTCAAAACACACAATGTAACATGTGTATAATTGTATGACATCACCTGATTGAGGTGGGTGTGGTTCAGTATAAAGACAAGCGGGACGACAAACAAATCAGTTAATCTAACTCGTGTTGTAGTTCAATTAAACTATGTATGTGGAGCATTCTAGTGCTTGCAATGCAATGAATAACTGGCTTCTGCCACCAAACACGACACTAGAGAAGAGTGACTTACAACAGTGGCTCTCTGTATGACGCTGTCCCAGATGTCGTTTGGTAGTGACATGTACTTCTCTATCAGCCTCTCCTGTACCACAGAGTCCTGTATCAAGAACAGTAGGGGAAGAAGGTTATAGAGATACAGTTGAACAGTAAAAGTCTAAGCACACATGAACTCCAAGGACCATTATGTTGTGGTGTACCCAGCATAACGAGAGTGTAACATAAAGCGTGCATTGATTTCACGCACAAGCTGCCTGGAATAAACTCTAATTGACGCACTTGATTTCACGTATGAGCTGGTTGCATGGGTTAACAGCTCCGTCCCCTAACTGGCAAGCGAAGTGAGCCTGCCTTTAATTTCCATGTAATAACTGATTTCTTCTGCGCTATCTACAACAATGCGCATATGCCAACACCACGTACCCACAACACATTCTAGTGATAGCAGCTATTATGGTATGTACATACATAATATATCAGCCAGGAGCTGAGTACACACATCTCACCTTCAAAATGGTGGATTGTGGGCTAAGCTGGCCCATGAAGTGCCAGCATATCTTTCACAATACCATAATATACTTACTGTGGAGCATGCATTGACACTTACATATGTTAACAACCGCACAAGTTATTATGCACCTTGCAATTTGGCGATCTAGTCTACATCAATTAGTGATGTAGTCTCAGCAGGTGAAATATCACTATGACCTCACAAAATATAGCCAATACACCACAAAACAACCACAACCAGTACTGTATGGGGGAGAGAGTAGGCAGGAGGGGGATGAGAGCGGAAGTGAAGGTGGCTGTGTCTACCACAGTTGGCATAATGGAGGTTCACGTCAGAGTATTTAGCCATTAGACCATGGCAACCGCACCACAGACAACAGAGGGGTATGCGCATACATCAGGTTAGGTCATTACAGTGTGGGTGGTGTCTATCTTTAGTCTTACCTGCATTGCATGCCACTTTTGGCAGTGTCACTAGTGCATTTAGCCAGAGGTCTCTCGGGCGGAATTTGAACCCTACACTGCCACACCTTACGGTGCCTGTGGTGCCAAGACCACACTGCAGCACCATGCTAGTGTGTGGGTGTAGGGGCTAGACTACTTACCACCACACAGTGAGAGATGCATTCAGTTTGTGGCATAAGGATACGTGGGTGTACCAGGGAATGCATTCAGTTCACACTGTCTGGTCCTGGGGGGAGACTGTATCTGCTATGTACGTATGACCTACAGGTGTGTCGTTGTGACCTTGGCTGAACTACACCAGGCCTGGGGTTCAGCTGAGATCACACGTACAATTTGCGACTCTCAGAGTTGTTTCTTGGATACTCACTACTATTATATGTCCCAACTGCAGATGCCGAGTCCAAAGCAAATGCATACGCAAGGAGTAAGCATTAGTGTAGACTCAGATGGACCAATAGTACGTAGGGCAAATTATATTACTTTCTCCATCCTCACTTTTTCTCTTCTTCTTCTGTTCGTCAGTATGTAAGGGTTAAATTTAAAATGGAAACTTTAATTGCATTCTTGCACTGTGCCCTATTGCTTAGTTCTATCTTTAGTAACATTTCTAAATTTATATACTGACACATTCCCTTTAAACCCCCCTCCCTCTTCTCCATTTCACATGCACACTCACCATCTGTGCCTGAATCATGTAGCCGACGGCCTCGTAGAAGGTGTGGACCTGGTGAGGCTGGAGGTCGCAGACGATGGCTCGGATGTGGTTGAGGATCTCTTCGATGAACGGCATCACCTCCAGCTGCTGGACCTGCACGAAATGGCGGCGACACTTCTGAGCTATCTTGATGAACGTGTCACAAGCCATGTCCTGGACACCGTCGTGGGTCTCTGCGGGAGTGAGTGTGTGTGTGTGTGAGGAGAGGGAAGGAAGAGGAGAGGTAAGGGGGAGGAGGGAGGGAGAGGGAGTGGATGGAAACATTTACATTGGCAGCAATTGCCCCACAATGTACGGTTCTCTGGACGGCTTGATTAGTTTGGACATCAGCCATGACTTTACCACTATAGCTGAGTACCACAGCCATAGAAATCCTTCAAAATCACAACAAAATGAGAGCAGTTTCGCAGCAGTTTCAGAGAAAACCTACCATATTTTTTAACCTACACCAGACGCTGAATACGTGGTGTTGCTTCATGATGTCGGGGTAACAGACAGACAGATACATGCCCGCATGAAACTCTGGTACTCCACTCCAAAGCAAGAGCGATGTGGTCGAGTAAGCCGTGCCTAATTTCATATTGGCTTTTTGCTTGGCTTTTAAAAACCGCGTACTCTTGAACGCAGCATTGCAGAAAACCAACCCCATATATTATTGTTTCGACCTATCCCCGCCTGATCTGCAATACGTGGTATTGTTTTGAGCGAGTCATGATGTCGTGGTAACAGACAGACAACGACACACACGACAACTACAGTAACCCTCGCTGCACATGCGCCACCGAGGGTTAATAATTACATACCATGTACACACACCACATGAACTAAAATGTATCTCAAAACTAAATATTCACCGCCGAGTGCGTGAGTGCTGCACAATATTGGCAAGTGGGTAGAAGGCACAGACTTTCAACCCTCGTACGCGATTTGCAAAATGCGCCAGGTGGCTCTCGGAAAAAAGAAAAAGAGAGAACGGTGCAGTTTTGTATCAAGCCTAATTATTGCTCAATATCAACAGAGACACTGTGTGATAACTATGATCACTACGTATGTTGCCACACGTACGTACGTACCGTGCATAAATTCGAAGAGCTTATTGACGACTGTCTTGAGAAATTTCCAGTGCGCCCTGCAAGTACACAAACAGACAGACACGGCGCCAGAGGGACAGACATCATTCGACAAGTATGAGAGCAAGTTATGAGTGATACTAGTAATCTGTATGACGACAACATATGTACCTGCCCTCTCTGTTGTGCACAAAGGATTAGCAGACAACGCCTGTTTAATTGCGACGATTAAGGCCCACCATTTCATGCGTGATCATTTCAAAGGTCAATCATCGTATCAAAGTACACACGATTGACTACCAACACACTTGGCTTCACCCCCAAACACATATCCGTCCTCTCCAATGGTAGTATACATACGTACCTATGTATGCTGAACAATTGTCAACACATAATATTGTAGCATACATTTACATGCTCCAACTTTATAACGTTTACGTGTGCGTGGTGCTGCACCTTGGTGCACTGGACGGAGCACCGAGTGGCTTTCAATTGGTGAAATTCACGGACATTTTTCTCCTTCTTATTTGTGTGAAATTTACCCACTATATACTAGATGGAAGCAGTGAGCAGGTGGTGAGTTGTGAGGGACAAAAACAAAACGCAGAAGAAACAAAAAACAAAAAACAAAAAGAAGTGTACCCTGACCTGAGGAACCTGGGGTACTGTCCAACAATGTACATGATGTTGGATGCCACGATTGCTTTGTTGTCTTTGCCTCTCTTCAGCTCACACAGACCCAACAGCTCCTGCTCACACAAACACACACCACACAGAACCAAATGTAAAAATATAGAAGTATTCAGAAAGGATGCCATACTGTAGAAATATAAAATTGACATCCACTGTCATTTTGCCACAAATGTCCCATTAAAGTGGTAAAGATTTGACGGGGAGAAATCCACACTCGGGTAACAATTTGGGTGGTAAAGCTGCTTTTGGGAGATAGCGAAGTACACGGAAAGGTTTCTGTGAGGTTATGTAGGTGGGCTTCAAGGGACATTTGGAGTGGAAAAGAATTTGGGGAGGTTTACAAAAGAGTGTGAACATTTACTTCAATGCAGTTGAAAATTGGCCTCCTCCGTCCCTACTGAATGCCAGTGTTGTAGTTACCTTGATGACTGTGACCAGGAACCTCTTCTCATCGTCTTCGTGCATGGCACCACTGATGGAACCAATTGCCCAGCACAACTGCAACAAACACACAGACACACACAGAGAGTGACGTGTGGAGGTAAAGGGCTAGTATCCATGGACACACATACAGTTTATAGCTTCATTCCAGAAACAAAACTGAAGACCGCCAATGTTACCCCCGCACTTCGGCATTTCCTCTTACGTGACATGTGCGTGAGTGGGCGACGACAGTGGCATGCCACACGGTAACAAACAAACACCAGTGACACTGAGTGAACACATGCCGCCTACTTCACTCCACAGGTGAAAAGCCAGTTCCATATACACACACACACTGGGTACGTTGTCGGGGAGATTGCAGAATCGCGACTGGAATTCCAACTATTCCCAAATCATCCGGCACAGAAACAGCAGCAGTCCATACCGATAAACAAACACTCTCCATTCTTCTATATAGGAATTACTCCAACCCCACAACCCTACCTTTCACTCACACACACACTATGTTTGTACCTAGAGAGTCGTCTCCACATGTCTAGGCTGTACAACAGGCTACCTACCCATCATTACACACTATGTACACAGTCTAAGTGGATAGCTACGTAGTAATGCTCTCCAGGCCACGTGGCACCCTGGTGCTGGGGAGGAAAAATCTCATGCACGCCAGATCAAAGCCACGGTACATCGCGGCAAAACCCCACCTGTGACCTGATAAGGCGAAGGAATAAACCCCACCCACAGGCCGGCTGAAACCTCAGCATTTTTAACCTCCTTTGTGTGCGCCGCCGTCGGTTCTGTTGCTAATGCGTCGTGCCCTCCTTTGAATGCGCCACAAAAATCCTTTCAACATACGCAATTAGTGATCTCGCTCATGCATTAATGCTTGCAAGATGTGTGAGGGCGTACGCAGTGCCCACAGGCGGAATCCATATACTGAACCACTCAGATCACCAATTTTTCTGGCTGGACCTTCCCTGGCACCTGCACACTGTAGTACAACACACACTGCACTCTGTACACAGGCAAAGAGGACAGGAATGTGTTGTTTCACTGTAATTCATTCGCAGTGTTTACTTGTATACCAGACCAATGATGCAAGCTTCCAACACACTCACTGAAGGGGAACTACAGTACATTAGCTGTCTGTATTTACTCTCTGGGAAAGAGACTCCTCACTTCCATGTAAGGCCCAGTACACTGTCCTATCATACAGGCCGCATGACCCCAATATTATCTCACACCTTGAGCATGCTCATCTGCCCCAGCCCTTTGCCAACTAGCCCACTGCAGGGGAGAGCATTACTTCCTCAAACATTAACCAGAACAATTCAAAAAGAGGCCGGATTCTGCGTCCAGGGTAATTACTCTGTCGGGGTTGTTGGGGCTGCATTTCAAGTACACTATTACATCGCACACTGCCATCCTCTGTGCAGACACCTTTCTCATCACTGAAAGTGGCCCATTAGCGTGCGTACACACTGGACCAGACAACATGCTCCATACATACAGTATACAGCACAGTCCATATGCCAGAGACACCCAATTGGGGAGAAAATGAGGTGTTTTCGTTTCGCCACTCAAAATGAAAACACACAATTTGCGTCTCCCCCCAGACTGTCACAGGACATCTCCTTTTTTTGCATATCCGCGACAGACACAGCCTTTTAGATAACGTGTAAGTGGGGCATTAGTTTGTGATAAGTTCAAGTGGTAGGCCCTGAGGACTGACATTCTGGCATGGTGTACAATATGGCACAGTGCCTGCTTGCTAATGAAGAGAGGGTGCCTTAATTAGTCGGCCAATTAAGGGGCAAAACCTCCAGCAGTTGTCTCCTGGGACTCCCATATAGGGAAACACACCCTCCCGCCCTGGCAGAACATTGTCTCGCCAGATGTCTGATTGAAGCAGTACAATTAGGAAATTTACTGTGGCTAATGCAACTGTATTCACGGGATATAATTAATTGCCCGTATTCCAAAACAGAAGCACTCCATTCAGCGTGATGGACTACTTCACAACACAGACTCAGTATATAACTAAGCCACTCTTTGTTTATATACATACAGAGTTTTAAGGGGTGGGGTGGCTGGCTGGCTGAGCTCCCCCAATGTGCAGTTTTGTCCACCCCTTCCTATGACCTTCTCCCCTACTGTACACATGTTTCTGTATACCATCACCACCCCCTACTTCATTATGGAACGGCATAGTTTTCTATTTAAAGGAACAAGTGACAAACTACAGTCTGGGTTAACACGTGTTATTTCCCCTCCCATAATTTCAAAGACCCTCTTTGCACCAGCTACAAAAATAAACCCTGCCTTACTAGACAGCTTGGTGTTAAGGCCATCTTTGGAGGCAAGGGAAGAGAGGCGTGGGAACAATGCACATACACACAGGAAGTTCTCTTGTTAACCCTCCGCATACAGCAGAGTTAGGCTGGGTTCACAATGTGTCAAATTGACCTGTCACATCTTGCCGCTTTGCCACAGGATAGAATCCATTCCTATTCTATCTTCGCGGCACAACGCGACATAGAAAAGCACGACGGGGTAATGTGACATAATGTGAACCTAGCCTGAGTGGTGGTACATGTCATATACATACAGTGTTTAGGTTCTTCCAGGACCACTCAGTTCCGTCCACCTGCTTGTACAGTTTCTCAGTCATGATGTTCTCAGTGTCGGCATAGTCCAGATGAGTCAGGTACACTGGGTGAGGGACGAGATGAGAGAAAGAGAGCACAATGGCACAACTAAACAACTGATTGGGTTTTCTAAGTGAATTAAACAGCACACACTTAGAGAAAAAAGAAACACTTCTCGAAAGTGCAAAAACCTCGGTGCACTAGAAATGGTGTGGGTAACGTACCAAGAGTCTCTCTCATGCTCTTGTACATGTTGATGGCATCGGTGTCCTTCATGAACTCCCTGACCACCTCTCCCTGGTCTGTCTCTATCACCAGAACCTCCTCCGGCTTGGCCATCCTGCTGATCATCACCAGACGCACCTGAACAACACACACAGTACACACACTATAATTGTATGTGAACTGTAGCTCACTGTTAACAGTGTACTGGAGTTTTTGAGTCACCAAACCAGAGCTTGACAATCATGAAGGTATTAGACCAAGAGAAAAAAGAAGAGGAGCTCTGGACAGCTGTTTCGGGCTTGTTGGCCCTCATCAGCAGAGCATACCAGCAACTTCTCTCTCTGGCATCAAGAGTTTATAAAGGCTACCAGGAGCGCAGCACTTGCGGTTCTGAACTAATGAGATATCATGTATAGGACCTGTTCTTTTTTTTTACTGTCACACAGCTTGAGTTTTACTCTGTTTTTTCTCATTCACGTCAACTAGTCATTTCGTACAATACTTTCCTATGAGCTCGCCTAATAGAGTATTGGGTACTTTTCCCGTGTACAGATGCTTTTCAAAATGTTTTTAGCAAACGTGTGTTTGCCGTTAGGTTAGAGGGTGTGGAGGAGGAGGTCGATGGTAAAGAAGAGGGAGAGAGTGTCTGAGACCTTGGACAGGACAGTGAGGTAGAGCTGCCGCCGAGGAGGGAAATTCTGCTGACTCAGCAACATGGGCGAATGGGAACTGGAGAATGGGTTTTCGCGGTACAGGTCTGCAGCCAGGCTGTTCCAGTACTCGAGGCAGATCTTGAAAATCTCCTTCTCGTCCACCTCTGAGATGAGGACCAGGTAGTGCAGCGCCTGCAGTGGGAGTGGTGTGGAGCAGTGAACCTACAGCACACACCGTATTGCACTACAACACAACACAGAGCAATTCTTACCTCCAGTAGTGTGTTTTGTAGCTCAGGCTGCAGGTAAAGAAGAGAACACAATATTAGAAGCTATATGTACACATGTAGAAAACACCATGACATGTACAAATCAGACAATCAAATCTACTGTATGTGTAGTTTGACTATATAGATTCTAGTGGTTACCACAAGTACGGTAGTATTACAGGGATGGGTATTGTATGGGGCTATGATAGGGAGTTTTGTTTGTCTTTATAAAACCTTTGGCTCAATAAGGACGGCGTGCTCCTTGAGGAAGGTGCAGAGGAAGAGGGCCAGGTTCTGGATGAAGTTCTGCTCATCGTCCTGTCCGTTCTTGAAGGCCTCTCTGATGTTTGTGGCCAGTGGCAGCATCTGAAGGTGACACAACAAGAGGAAGGGGTGAGGTGGGTGGGGGAAATTTTAGAGAGATGATCTCCACTGACAAACTCAATTGTAGAGGTGACGTTCAAATGGAAAAGCATTACTTCACCTGTTTGAGTTGTGTCATGACGAGAGTGAACATGACGACAAACTGCTCCGAGTACTGAGTGTTAGTGGAGGAGGTCTGGATACCAGCTGCAGCACACACACACACCACACACACAACAAAGATTATCAACACACGAAAGAAACATGGTCTAGGTTTTTATGTAACACATACATAATAAATTAATTATCGTACGCATGTAGTGCTGTTATAATACATACATACCTACTTCAGTGAGACATTTGAGAGTGACATTTCTAAACGCGGGTACATTCAGAAACTGCAGTGAAACAATATACACAATAAAGAATCTGCGCTAAAATTAGTACAAATACTACTTATGTAAACCAATATACAGACTTTACACAGATAGGGGAGGAGAAAAGACACAATAGAACATCACAACTTAAGTAAAGGTCGACCTTGTTCAGCATGGACACAAGCATGTTCAATCTTGTTTCAAGCTGTTGTTGCCACAAGCTTGAACAAGATTGACTTGGGAAGGCCAGGCTTGATCAGGCTTGTAATATAACTGACTGCTGCATTGAACAAGCTTGCTCCAAGCCTGTTTATTTTTCAAAGGGTCTGCGTGTCATAGTAACACACATCTAATTATACGTCTGCTGCAGAAGAAAATTTCAACTGCACTTTGTATAAAACGGAAGTGTTGTTGCATGCAGAATGACTGACAGGACACAGAGACAGTATAGAGAGAGAGACCTTGTATATGAGAGAGCTGACGAGTTTGGTTTCGAAGATGTAGCCGAGCGGTATCCAGTTGAGGAATCTCATCAGAGTGTCCAGAGTGGCCCCCACTAGAGATATGCTCTGGGAGTTCTCCTGCAATCAGAGGTGGGGAGGGAGAGAGACCGACATCTTACATGTACAGGACAAATGCAACACATTATTTGTGTGAACACAAGCAAGTCACCTACGTAGAGGTGACCCCTCTGGTGAAAGGGGAGAGTGCAAGAGCACGTAAATGCTGGCACAAATAGCTTTCTTCACTGGGTTATATCAGATTTAGTTTCTACAGTTTATGAATGTATGAATACATATGCGTTTAGGTACATACATTACTAGGGGGAAAATCGGGGGACTAAAAAAAATAAGGAGGGAGTACAACTTGGCACTTTTACCAGTGTTTCAGGCTCAGTTCAGGGGTATGGGAGGACTCAGAGCATTTGCCATTACTGAGAAAACCACTCGAAAATGCATGGTGAGTGTGTGAGAAATAAACAGCACACACTTAAAGAAAGAAAAGTGAAAAGAGAAAGAGAAAGGAGGACTATAAGAGACTGTACTTCTTACAAGAACCGTACCAGGACGTAGCTGCAGAGCTGGAAGATCTGAGAGAAGTCGTTGCACATGGTGTCCTTGAGGTGCTTGGCCTTCACCTGAGTCATCTGGCCACTCGAGAAATCAAACACCTCCTCACTGGGGGTGGGTGTGGTCAGGGGGTGTGGTTAGACGAACACATTACATGCAGAACTTACGACATTACAGTGTAACAGTGCCATATAGAGAGGTACTTAGTTTACAATGACCATTTGAAAAGCCTTCAGTTATAACAACACTTCCAAGAAGACCTAAATTCACTACCTCACATTGTGACAGTTGCTACTGGAGATGCACATGCAGAGCACATGCAATGCACAGCAAAGGAGGGTGCTAGTGGTAGCTAGTGGTAGCTACAGTAACTTCATATTTAATTTTCAATTCAGGAAGATCGACCCAAGATTGCATTATATAAACAGTTCGCGACTCCATAGGATGTGTGTAAAAGTCCTTCAACAACAAATACACTTGCTTTGTGTTAGGATAACAAGGACAAAATGGCTATCATCACATAAAGAACGCTGGACAAGCAAGGTATATACCTTATAACAGGAAAATCATATATTTTTTGAGGTTTCATGTAGAAAGTTTGTGTGGGTCGGGGCAGGTCCCTTCCGTATAATTATACGACTGTATATACAAACAAATCCATTCTTATCACCGACTGACGTAATGCGGTATAAAAACACACACACACAAGGGATACTAAACCCAATAAGACTCAGTGTAAAATAGAGGACCTGAGCAGTTTGAGAATGGCCATGTTGTTTGTGCAGAGGGATTCACTCGTCTTGCTGGCACCAACGATGTCAGATACAAAGGTAGTCCAGTTTTGCGGCCACTCCTGCTTCACGATCTGCATACACATGGACCATCGTCACAGTGCTCATTATAACCAGAACAAGGCATACACTGCAAGGTTGAACTTCAGTTCTTACTAAAAAGCTGCTGTGTGGTATGCTACATAACGTTGTTACTTTGTCAGGCAGCAGGCCAGCAATTGGTGTGAGATACCAGTGAGAAACACGTTTACAACTTTCTAAACCAATACCTGGGCTTTAAAAGTTTTAGAGCGTTAGGCTGCTTAGCAATACGTCTGTGGCCACCCATTAATGTCCACGTGAGCGTTCCGTGAACACACCACTCAATTCTCCCCCTGCCCATTACTCCACTGATCGTTGGAGTGCAAGCGCTGCAAAGTGCAAATAGCTTTGAAGTCAGATTCGTACTACGTAGCTATGACACCAGTTGCCAAACGCAATCATAAAAAGAGGACAACCGAGTGTGTTCATTACGGTGTTTGAAATAACACTTATACTCGATTGTCTGGTTGTCAAAGTAATCATTTACGAGTGAGTGCAGTTAAGTGTAATGCCCAGCTTCACATCTCAGGGAAAACAGACTATATCACAGATGCATGGGGAGCAAGTTCAACAAGTCTTACCTGTACGAGAATGATGTTTAGCTTGTAAATGTAGACCTTTTGTTGCTGCATTGAACACAAGTGGACAGAACAATAGACCCTCGATACATTGAACCTGACATACAGTGCAACATGGTACCACACACACACACACACACACACACACACACACACACACACGTGCACGCCACGTGCACTACGTGTACATGCACTACGTGTACATGGACAATACAAGGGTGAAGCAATATGCTTCGACATGCAATGGTCAGCATAATATCGGCACACAACTATAATAATGTACAGCCTTTGCCCATAATTATACTATGTACGATGTCCACATAAGAAATAATTATATACCTGCAATGTTTGCTGATCAGAAGAGAGTTTAATCACCAGTCCAACTATGTACTTCCGAATACCTGAAAGGAAAACGTACGTAACACAATTATACACTATGCCTCATCCACAAGGTTCTTCTGCTACAGATCATGTTTACAGTTCTTCAATAGCGAAATGTACACATTATAGCAGTTACGTCACACCGATAAAATGACAATAAAAATAGAGAACATGCGTTTAATAGTGAGGTATACACCCCTAATAACCAGATAGCTCATTTGAATCGAGCGATTTGATTGGTCAATGAAATGCATTGCACCCATACCTTCTCTTTGATCCTGGGGCAGAGCCTTCCATCGAGTTTTGATGAGATTCTCTAATATCTGTAGTGCCAAGTACTGGGGACAGGGAATAGGAACTCTATAGTACACGCTGGCAACATACTGCACATACAGTACACCATACAAGAGGCAACTTTTAGGGGAGAAAACGTCTGTGAATATCACGGTTTGTGAGCTAATCTGTGAAATTTTATGGGCAAGGGCATTTGTACAGTGGGAAAAAAACAAGCTACAAGTTTTTTCAATGATGCAACTGAATCAGGAAAGGTCTCTACCTCGAAAGGTTCGACTATATACATTAGCACGATGTGGGGACCGTACAATTGGTCTGTTGGTTACCTTTGCCTCCTGGTTCTGAGAGAGCTCTAGAATGGAGTCGACTCGTGTCCAGGCCTCCGGGTGCTCCCTGAACTGAGTCAACACCTGCTGGGCCACTTGTTGCTATATAGTGGAGTGGAGGTGTTCGCGTTTGAGTGCATGCATGAGAGAGTTTGTACATAATAATTATGTGCGTGTGTGTAATTATATTTGTTGTTTGGAAACGACTCATATCTGTGCAATATATACACATATTATATAGAGTCCAGATATGCAGCTGTGTGGGTATGGATGGGGCCTCACCTGAGGTCCCATGGTGTTGTAGAAGCAGCTGACGACCGAGTCCAGCAAGCTCATGTCCATCTTGTTCCCAAAGTCCAGCAGACGCATCGCCTGCTCTGCACTGAACGGAGATACCGACGCCATCCTTTGAGAGACGGGAGTTGAGAGAGAGCACAAAAAAGGAGAGAGAATTTCTATGGCTATTCTCTACCATGCATTACACACGGGCTCGCCACGTGATTGCTGAGTCAGCAAAAACTCTTTTGGGCGGCTATATTATAGACCAGAGGTGACCCCGGCTTCTCCGCTCTCAGAGGCTTTTAGTTCATGTCTAGCTAGCTAAGACAGTTAGCTTTTACTCCTTCGCAACAGCAGAGCCAGCCAGCTCGGAGTACTATGTGGAGCTCGCACAAGAAGCCAGCCTCCGCGCCCGTAAGCAGAGCCCCATTTGGCTCGCTCAGTCGGTGATACTGGCATTACCGCCGCTCCACTGCCTACTAGTTGTCTCAACTTGAACCTAACTACTATGGGATCACAATCTATGAGCTATATACCGCTTCGCTCCCATTTCAGAGTCGCTTCGGTTTCACGTCATGGACGAAGTTCCACACACTGGGCAGAGAGCACATAGGCTAGTCTGCAGCTGTAGACCACCCTCTAGCATAGCCTACGAACCAGTAAAAAAACCTCACCTACACTTGCTGAACAACTTCTCTGGCGGACGACGTTGGTCGCTGCTCGTAAAGAGGGGCTTTATGAACCCCTGACTTCTGCACTGTACTGGTGTTGTTGCTTTGAATGTGTGCTAAGTCCCCCTTTTTGTTTCAGCTCTAAAATCACTCTGATCCTCTAGCTGTAAGCGTCAGTTCTCAGCCTCCTTCTCGGTCCCTGACATGGCAAGGGTAAAGCAGGCGTGGCTAGTGAGTCTCTCGCCGGGCGGTTTTTTCCGCCTGGACCAGCGAAACTCGTATCGTTCTGAGCATGCGCACACTGAAACTGCGGTGCAGAGCCGAGCATGCGCGCTAGCGCTAGCTATAGAGCAGCAGCAGGGTTATTGTACGTACACACACCAGCATAGGCACTAGGATTCTTTTGGACTGGGACCAGAAATGCAAAAAGTGATATTACTGGGCAATTTGTTTATCCAGAAACTTTATTTCGTCCTCTGACAAGCCGGCTTTCTTGAGAGCTTCTCTGTACTTGATTTCAGCTGCCCGCCTGGCTGCATCTCGTGACACCTGCTCAAACACGAGGGGCCGTGCCGCCACTCGCTGCTTCATGGCCTGCAGTTCCTTCTTGTATGCAGTTCTTCTTGCTTGGTCTTGTTCCCTGCATGACCAATGACAAAATTGGTACAAGTAAAAGTTGTGTGACCCAATAAAGATCTGATCAACGACTGGCGTGACTGCTGTTGCGTTTGCGGTTATCAAAACATGGACAAACTTTTCCGTGAGTGTGTGTGTGTGTGAGACAACCCAGTTGGTTCCCACAGACCTGAGTTCTTGTAGGCGCTCCCTCTGTCTCTCCTCCAGCCATGCCGAGCGGTCGTCAGACTGCACTCGATGGATGACCCTGCTCTGCAGCTCCCTCTGCTCCTCTCTCTTCATTTTCCTCACCTCCTCCCCCTCTGCTTCCCTCTCTGCACACTCGGCCAGCTTCCTCTCACTAGCACTCCGTCTCAGTTTGGCCGTTTGAGTCATTGCTACGGCGGGCTCTCTAGTACAATGCTTACTGTGTGCCCTTGAGCCTGGTTCAAACTTTGGGTCACATGTTCTTGATTTAGCCGTAGTGTGATGGAAGAATGAGTTCAATATTATTGAGTGTTGGTGCTCCTCGTCCTGTGGGTGGAGGCATCGCGATGGAGTAGAGGCTGTTCTAAGGAGAAACGGTTTTGGAGTTGTTGCTGGCTTCACTTCTTTCCTTGCAGCCAGTTGCTCTTGGAAATGGCAGTACAACTGGTCGTGATCGGGAACTTGTCTCCTAATCTTCGGACGGAAGGTGTGCTCCTCTGTTACGAGAGCCCTGTTCTGCATTTCCTCCAGCCTCTGTTTCTTGAGGGAATCTCTTTTCTGTTTCTCCTGCATGTTCTTAGGGAGCTGTGCCCGAGCCAGCATCTCATGGGACCTGACCTTGATCAGTATCCTTCTATACTCTTCTCTCTCCTTCAGTTCCTCACTCACCCGGGGACTCAGAATGCTCTGTGGAACCGGCTTAGCCCTGAACTGCAGAGTCTCTCTGGTGTCTGTCATCTCGTCACGTTGTCTCTGTTGGTTCCGAAGGCATTTCTCTTCCTCTCGTTTCATAAAACGGAACGGTTTTATGGGCTCCACAACTTTCTCGCATCCCAACTGGCCTTCCTGGTCTCGACCCTGTCTCTTCATCTCGTCGACTGGAACGTAAGTGGTGGCAGGAACGGGAAGGGCCCTGAATTTTTTCAGGCACTCTAATTCCTCTTGCATCTCCCTCTCGAGCTTTTCCCGCTCCGCAGCAATCAACGCTCGACTCTTTCTTCTCTTTGGTCTTGCTTCGTCTCTGATCGTCATGACGAAAGGCTCCGGGATTGTCACCCTGCGGCTCAAAGCTGTCTTGGCAACTGGTTTGCTAATCCCCGCTTTGGGGTCCAACTTATGCTTCAGTGGTGGGGCGTATTCCTCAACCGAGAAATTGTCCCACATTGTCTCAATGGTGGACTCACCAGGGGAAGCAAAGGGATCGTTCTCAGGCTCGGGACTTGTTTCAGAGTCAGACTCACTTAGTTCCGTGCTACTGATGCTGGTTATAGAGAGAGGTAGCCGTGTCAGCAAGGGCCCACTAACATGCCTATGTGGTGGAGCCAATACTCGATGGTGTAGTGGGGACGTGTTAAGGTCTGAATTATTTACTTCCTCATCTGTTCCCTGTCCTTCGGTTGCATCAGTGGTGCTTTCCGTTCCACTGTCGTTACTTTCACTGCCAGAAACAGTGTGAACACTGTCTCTCTTGGTCAGCTGTGACGGTGACGAAGGGATCCAAGTAGTAGTAAGGGTCACGGGAGGTTGTTTGCTACTATTCTCCAGTAATCTTGCTGGGAGGCTCTGTGAATGGAGCTGCCTTGAGTCAGTCTTTCCCCAGTGAATGCGGTCTGCATCAGAATCTGCTGCGTCATCAAGACTGCTGCCTGGAGGGTTTGGCTCCTTCCCCTCCATCTGAGCGATCTCTTCCCTCAGTATGGCGTTGCTTTCCATCATGGTGGTGAACAGAGACGAGAGCTGGAGCGAATCTCTACTTTGCACCGCCACGTCCTTCCCTAGGGGAATGTTTGCTGCAGGTCCAAGCCTCTGCATGCTGCTGTTGGGAACAGTGTTGTATGTAGAGATCGTTCTGGAGTTCGATCGAGGGATTTCCAACTGCAAAATCGGATGAAGTCCGTGGTAAGATGTTCTGCTCTGAGCCTCTCAGTGCTCCTTCCACTCTCCGGCCGTTTGAAAAAGACTGCGTTGTTATGGCGCAGTGCATGCGCGCATGCATGCGCGACACGCCCCCTTGCACGCCCACGCGCAAAATGATTAAGATTGAAGACGTCATAATACTCACACTCACACACGATTATGAATAAGTGACTGAAAAAAACCCTAGAGCTACCTGGTACTGAGATTGTTCACTGTCAGCTCAGCACAAGAGAGACAACAAAACTGCAGCAAACAAAATTTAGATCAATTGTGTGAACACAAAACAAAAAATAGAAGTGTAGATACAGGATTGTGCGTCAGTAGATCTTTCATTATAGCACAAATGCCACAGATAGCACATCCAACTGTGCTACGACCTACCAGTAGAGAAGTACGAAGAAGACTACCAGATGATAGCCGACTTTGATGAAGGCCTCCTTCTGAAACCGCAGGAGCATCCCTCTGTTACGGATCTCTGTCGGATCGTACATACCCATGGACCCAGGAGGCAGGGTCATATACCTGGAGACAATATTCTCACTTACACATACATGCAGATAAAAAATTAATCTGTCGGCTGCCAAATCATGCGTTAAGGGAGGTTTTTGCTGGTTTTCGAACTATCCACTTCAGAAATTTGGAAGGGGTCTTGAACAAATTGCCAGGTTTTCTCCCTTCAAAACATTGGTGTGTAACCTGTAAATGAGGTATCCAGCAAACGGAGCAGTGACGAGAAAGACGACCCAATGCAAGGTGAGCAGCAGGAAGATTGGGATGAACGCTGTGGCCACCAGCTCCGGCACCACCCACTGTAATAGACACCATACAATGTGTACATGGACAATGAGACACAACAGTAGTCGATGGCATGCCTGGTTTAGTCTGACACAGCCCTGTTTGGTGTTGAGAAAGTCACACTCCAAGTCAGAGAGACATATGATCTGAACATGTTGTTAAGGCCTAGATTTTAGTGTCACTGGTTTCTGAGAATTCATGATCAGAATGCACAAGGGTGGCTAGCTATAGCTATATATCCAGTTTGGAAGGATACGAAGTACACTGACAGTATCATAAGAAGTAGTCCGTCGAGCAAGCAGATGATGAACACTAGTATGTCAGACATCGCCGCTCGTGATTGATCACTAATGGCAGAACGACGAAGCCGCTGTACTGGTGATTCTAATAAACGCCCACTCACTATCACGCCCCCCCCGCCCCCGCCCCCTAAAGCCTACGCATGCGCGCCTCTTTCAAGCGTAGAGGATTCCTTCGCTGAATAGGGATTGCAAAATGAATTACACAGTATATACAATTTCATTCAAGTGTCCATTTTCTCTTCAACATCCTGCTCATTGGCCGTTTGTTCTTCCGTAACACTTTCTTCTTGCTTCTCTTCCTTGCCAATGTCACCTTCAGCGGAGGACTCTTCTTTCACTTGTTTCTCTTCCTTGCCAATGTCACCTTCAGCGGAGGACTCTTCTTTCACTTGTTTCTCTTCCTTGCCAATGTCACCTTCAGCAGAGGACTCTTCTTTCACCCTCTCCTCTTCACACCCTACCCTAACTCCCTCCTCTCCTTCCTTTATCTCTTCCGTCTTCTCGGCTTCATCCTGGGTGCCTTCAGATAAACCCTCTCTTCTTTTTCTCCCTCTCTTTCCATCCTCTTGACTTCTCCATCATCACCCTCCTCTAAGCCTCGTGCTGTTTCTACTTCTTTGCCGTCTGCCGTATCATTTTCATTCTCGTCGACTTTTACCTCTCCCCCTTCCCCATCTCCCTGCTCCATCTTCTCCTCAGTAGCAGTGGCAGCTTCGCTTTATCTTCTTCAGGTGGCGGAGCAATCGAAACATCGGATGACTCCATGGACTGTGTGGGAAAAACCAATCAGCTAAACTTTGCAACCCAAGTTATGGTAGTTAATGTGGCACAGTGCACAACAGGCTTTTGTAGTGACACCACTAAGCAGTGGAACCTCTGCTCCCATGGAAGCATTGTGTATTACCTTGTGTTTCTGGAGAGCAGCGGCCCTGAGCGTGTCAATCCTCATCTGGTAGTCTGTATAGACGTAGTGGGCCAGCTGGGTCATGGAGCCCACAACAAACACCTCGCCCTCCGGAGGGGCACCAGACTGCCATGGGAGTAAAGGCACGTGTGCACGATTCACACGCAGATACACACCGCATGCGCTGTTTTTACTCACTGGTCTAGAGGTTGGGTAGAATTCACTTGGAATCAGGTGTAATTGAAGGGGTTTTCCTCATCATCTGTGAGAGATTAGAAGAAGAGACATGATGATGCTATGTAAATTGGCAAGCGAAGCAAAACCAGCAAAACCAACTTTCTAAAAAGTCACGCTCTTAAGAATCCGTTAACACATCCTCTCTATGATGTGCTGCAATAGCAGGACACCTTTTTGCCATGGAAGTTCATCCACAAGGTTGTTATCGGGTTAGCTTCTAGGACATTTGTATTTCAGTGTGAGTTTTTCTCCACAAAATTCAAAAAGCTTTCCCCATGAAACGTTCCCCAGTACACCCACCAGCTGGAAGGCAGGTTGTAGCTCGGTGCAGCCCTGGAAGAGGCTCACTCTGGCCAGAACGTAGAGTCCCAGGCGGGCACGGGACATGGCCACCACCAGACGCCGCACGTCTCGCAGGTGACCGACGTTCTTGGTGCGCACCAGCGACAGGATGATGTAGTCGTTCTGCTGGCCCTGGTATCGGTCCACCGTTGTCACCTGCAACACAGGGTATGTTCTGTGTAGCTATAGAGCAATCTCTGTTGTGTTGCATGTATAGCACACTTATGCTTGTGCATAATAGGAATAGTGCTCTTGCTTACAGAGTAGCACCTTCAACTCTATACCTAACTGAAATGCAGTTATTAACAACCCATACTGCACATATTAATCCATCCACTCACACAGGAAAATCACACTATCACACTGGAATACATATTGTTGACTGGCACCTTCTCTGGGAGGCCAAAGACGGGGTTGTTGGCACATCTCTTGTTGAGGACATCTCTCAGAAGATGTTTCTGGCCGTTGTAGGTGGTGAGGATGGCGATTCGCTCGGGGGGTAGCCCTGGAGCCGCATGTACATGAACAGAGCCACCACGTACTCGGCCTCGGCTAGGTTCTGATGGAGAGTGAAGTTCAAGAAGGGCATTAACGTTAAGCATAAAGAGTCATATTATACTTTGCTGCTGACATCATCAAAAATGTAGAATGCTAAGTTTGTGTTTATGTGTGCGCAAAACACCTTACAACTCTAGAATGCAAAGGAACTGACACCCAGAGTGGAAATAAGACCAGCCTACACTAGGTACACTAGTTCAGTGGAGACCTGGTAGAAGTAAGGAGTGGGCTCACTCTCTCCCACTCCATTGAGGTCCCCCACGTCCACCAGCTGGTAGAGGAAGGCAAAGCCGGGGTTGGCCACCCGGTACTCTGGCCACTCCGTCACATGTGGCAAGTCTCCCAGAGTCTTGTACCTAGTGGAAGATTGGTATACATACATCCACACAACTCGTACACTAGGCCTTGGTTTTATCATCTTGGGCTAAACTCTGAGCACCACACATGTCTGACAATGGTGTTCGCAAAGCTTTTTCACTGGCATTTGACAAATCCACAGAGGTTTTTTTTGTCACACTAGTGATACAGTATTGTATATACCTCCAGTTGTAGAGCTGGCAGAGGGCAGGTCTGGCTCTGCCCTGAGCATCCAGCTGCACCGTGGGGACTCTGAGTCTCACAAACCGAGCAAACATACTCTGCTCCATGTTGGAGTACTTCTGGAAGGCCATGTTCTGCACAACTGGTGGCAACTGAGACAGAGGAGGGGGAGAGGGGAGAGGAGTAAAGATGAAGCATTTTTCTATGCTTGTGTCGAGCTGTATACCTACCTGGTGGTGGTCTCCTATCATGATGACCCTTTTCAGCTGATTATAGCCATCCTGTGGATTCTGCAGGAAAGAGAAAACAGGTAGCGGGACACCAGACCGGTAAAAGCTATAATATGAGTTACCTGTAGCATGAGGGGAATGAATGATTCGACCTCCAGAATCTGGGCAGACTCCTCCATCAACACATTGTCATACTGCAGTACAACAAGACAAAACGTATTTGGTACAAGCAAGTCAGTCAGTCAAGTAAAGCGTAACCTTGAACATGCGTGCGTGATATACGTGCATGCACCATGTCTAGAGTGCCGTGTGACAAGACTCGCTTCCCACACAAACAAACTCGATACCAGAGCCACATACCACATAAGCAATACACACTTCTCCCCTAGTATAAGCTGTGCTCCCTCCGTACCTTGAAGGCCAGTTCCACGAGGTCTTTCCTCTTGAGGGCAGCGTGGGTGCAGGTCATGGCAATCACCTTCGCCTCCTTCACCAGGAGATAGTGGATGCGGTCACGAGAACTACGCAGCAACTCAAACGGACGGAACTCCTCCAGCTGCTTGAAGATCTTGCTCAGGTGGCGGAAACATCCCTGCAGTCAACCACACAACAATTGCTTGCTGCTCAAATGATGTTACACAAGCACGTACGGTGTCCCATTGTCATTTGAAAAGTTGGTGCATTAGTACTAAAAAGCACAAGCTTATATTGTAGAAGAAAGACAAGAGAAAGGAGGGCTATAAGAGACTACTTCTTACAATACAAAAAAGAGCTTACTAGTGTGGGACTGGCTGCGTGATTCACAGTGTATGAATAGATAATATACCTCCGCAATTTCCCAGTCATGTTGGAAGCTCTCGCCAGTAAAGAGGGCTGTGGTGCATTGGAGAAGTACTGGTGGAAGGGAAAGTGTTCATTGATGGCTGGAACCCCCTCAGGCTGCAGGAGGACAAGAACAAGATCTCGGTAAAATATACTGATGACAGAATATAGTGAATCTCTACTTACGCATCTGACCCCCTTGGGGCACACAAATACCAGTGAAAAGTTCAGATGACTGAACTAGTGCATTCCTATGCCATATAGTCACACTTGAGTGGGGCATCAAAACAGTGAATTGTGCAACTGAAAAAGCAGTAATGCAGTATCCATACATACAACATGAAAAAGGTGTCATATGTGCGCAAATGTGCATAATACAGACTGCAGATACATGCGTAATTGAAAGGGATGTTGTTGTTATATGCAGAGGTTTGATGATGTAAGGATGTAAGAGTGATGAGGCACGGTACTAGGGAGTGACAGAATTGGCGGTGTACCTTCTTTGCCAGAGGTTTGATCTTGTTGGCGTACTGCTCCCAGCGAGAGAGGACTTGGTACAGGTAGAAGTGGCCGGCTGTCTCGCAGGTGTAAGCCACATCACCAGCCACGTCTAGACTCCCCTGATCAGAACACGACACGGTATGTTGCTATATGCATACTCGCTTACAGGTAGCCAGACTCTAGACATTTTGGCACTGAAGTCTTGAGACAAGTGTCCTAACAAGATACATTAAGCTTTCACCAGTATCATGTTTATCATGTGTGTCTTAAATACCACCAAATGCTAACTGCTGTAGTTTTTGAGTGAAGTCGAAATGAATGGCCTTACATAGATTTCAAGAAGGTGGTAGTGTTACAGTATGTTACCTGCAGTCGCTCTACTTCTTTGAGAAGTTCCAGCCTCAGGGCCAGAATGAAGTTGACTCGGCCAAACCTGCAATTGTCCACAAAGGAGAGAGACATCACAGGGAGCATCTGGGAATGATTGCCATCGGCTACTGCTGGCTGACCTGCTGAAGTCTTTCTCTGTCTGCAACTCTTCCTCCCCGTGACCGAGCCTGAGGAGGTGGCGTTCGTCAATGTCCAGAGCCATGATCTTCTCAAACAGCTGGTTGAGGGCCTGGTTGGAGTGGGTCACCAGGAGAGTTCGCTGCAGATAGAGTCCGAGTCACAACACATACAGTACTTCACATTAAGATCACATAGAATTATTGTGTGAGCGAGCATGATTAGCAAATACAAAGTGGTTTTGAACCTTTGGGTAAGTTTCATGCATGCTTAAATGCTTCATGTAACAATGACGATGATAACAGTACAATTTGGATGGCTAGGAAGGTATGCAACCAGAAGAGTAAATACAGTGAATTTTGCCCATAGACTAAGCATGACATCATTGGCTATGCAGAGTGGTTGTTGCTAGACAACTTTCCACTGATCCTTTCACAACCCACACCAAATTGTGCTCTTGCTACCTGACACCCACTACCTGATGGTGCACCTCAAGATGCGAGAGAGAGAGAGAGAGACAGAGAGAGAGAGAGTGTGTGTGTGGTTGTGTTCATACCTGTTCGGGGAAGTTGTGGTAGAGGTTTGAAATGATTTGGACAGCCACGTCAGTCTTGCCCGTCCCCGGAGGTCCTACCACCAGAGTGAGCCCTGGCTGCATGCCACTGTTGATGGCCTCCACCTGTGTCGGAGTGAATGGAATGGCGTTCCTGGGAGGAGGGTGTGGTTGGGGTGTTCGGGGTGAGGGGGAGATGAGGGGAACGTTAACACTTAGTGTGCCACATAGACATACACAGAAACAACATTATGCACATCTTGGTCCACAGAAGTGGACACGTTACAGTACCCCCGGTTCCCTTACTTCTTGGGTTGGTTGTATGGGTAAGGGCCCCTGTTGGGAATGGTGTAAGGTTCCACCAGTAGCACGTCCTCCTCCCCCTCCTCCTCCCCTCCCTGGCCGGGTGGGGCCTCATCTCGGGCTGCCAACCTTCGCTTCTGAGACTGCCTCTCTTGCTGCTCTGGAAATGTGAGCCTGAACAGCAGGAAGAAGAATACGGGCAAATTGAAAAGTATAAAGCAACCACAGGTAATTACAAAAGCGTATTCTACATAGACACTGGATTCGGCAGGGACTCTTCAAATTCTCAAAAAGCCCTTGAATGTTTTTGTTTACATGAGATAAGTCAACAGAGTCCCATTATCATGAGATTTACACTTCCCACCTATGCAAACTATGATTAAATTTCTTACTTGAAAGGTGGGACTTGTTTACCGACTTCATCCAGCCTTGCACTGGAGGAACGTAAATGCACTCCATTACACAGTCAATGTGAATCACGCTCACCTTGACTGTGTACTGAGGAAAAGAGGCCCTGATATGTTCAAAGGAGAGGAAAGTGTCGTTGAAATCCAGACACCTTATTCTGTTTGGCAAACTGGGTGGGAAAGAGTGGAGGTGTATATATAGCTGCCATGAGGCGGTCGCTATGCTATCCAGCTTTAGAGGTTGAGAGAAGGGAAGCTGGAGTTCAACGTGCAAAAGAGCTGCTCTCTCCCACACGTAGGAGGGTGTCTGGTGGCACTGTTACTACATATATCGCATCAGAGGTATAATAAGTAGTAAGTGCAGAGAGCCTTGACATGGACAGAAAATGGCGGCTACGTGAAGATTGTAGGCAATAAAAAAAAACCTACACTAAAGTAAGATCTGAATTTTATCGATCAAGTACTTTTAATAATGTAACAACCCCCTTATTTTTTGTTTCGAACCATCCCTATATCCTACTTAATTTTGACTTTTACACTTTCATACATGCTACAAACACAATAGAAATATCGGTGATTTCGACCACTACGTATTGTATATAGATTCCAGGATTCCTCAACTATATGTGCATATGGCAGCACCATTGATCCTCCCACATATATGTAGATAGTATAAACAGTGAAACAACAATTGCAGTTGGCTTTTTCCCACTTGCAGTTTACTTTCTGTTTGAATGAATTTACAAAAAGTGCAAAAGAGTGTGTTAAACAATTAGAGAGGCTATTGAATTTTGTCGAAAGTTTTTGGTGCCAGAGAATGTATACAAGGAAAAACTTTATTCTACAACAGCAGCATAAGAATGAGTAAACTGCCATGTCCTGTATTGGATAAGTGTACTGCGTCTTGTGCCCAAAATTTGTTATGCTCTTAATCTCATGTGTCAAGAAGAGAAAGATTCGCTGTATTACATGCGAACAAAAAGGGATGATACGGCGAAGTTATAGTTTTACCCAGGGGTGAAAAAGACACACTCCAGCCAGTAAATGTAAATCTTCGCTTAGATACATTTGTAGACGATAAAGCCAGCTACATAGACACGGGTGCTGGTAAGCTGAGTATCGGAAACAGTGATCGAGTACTAATCCATAATGCGTTGTTGCTATAGCTGACGTCGTCATAATACGTGAGGAGAAGGGTAACACACATGGACATCCAAAGCAGTAGCAGTCAGATGCCCACAACAGTCCCAAGGACAAGATGATGTCAACTGTGTTGTAGAGAGCTGAGCTTTGCTCAGGACAGCCGCTATTCACTGCCACTAGCATGCAACACACAATGCAAGCTAGCATCAAATGCATTGACGTCCCAAGGTCACTATACCACACATAGATGGGGTCAGCATATACGGCACGAACATGGAGGCTTAGTACCATCGCCGACACTGGTAGACAAACTACACACAGTATCAGACAGTTTCTGGTGCCATTAGTGGTCCATCTTGTAACAGGACACAGAATGTTGTCCAGCTTGAAGGATAACATCTTGCACGCTCTAGAGCAGACAGACGTCAGGGAGAATGTTGAGGACTAACATGCGGATATATGGGGAAGGATTACAGCAGAACCCCATGATAATGAAGACACCCAGGTAGAACATTGCAGGAGTAGTTAAGAA